TTTGACTGAAGGCCACACACTTGCAAGGTACGTGCTCTACCGCTTGAGTCAGGCCCCAGACCTTAGATGCTTTAGTTATTTTTTGAATAGGTGAACAAATTTTTGTCCAGGCAAAATAGGAGGACAGCAAGGGATGATAGGTTTGAACCACCATGCTCAGTTTATTGGTTCATATAGGGCCTCACTAACTTTTGGCCTGGGCTGGCCTAAAATTGTTACCCTCCTGGTCTCTATTTTCTAAATAGCTAAGACATGAGCCATCAAATCTAGACATCAAGTCTTCCCCACTTATTCTTTGGTCTAAGAGGAAGGGTGAATCTAGTAGGAAAAGCCTGGTGTTTTGTGGTCAGAACACTGTGTGCCAAGAGGGGTGGACCTTCCTCTCCACAACAGTCAGAACTGAAACCGGTCAGTTTGTCTGTCTGTCTGTCTGTCTGCCAATCATAAATTTATTTTTTGTGCCAGTACTGGGACTTGAACTCCAGGTGCTGGTCTTAGCTTTAAGCTTTTTTGCTCAAGGCTAGTTCTACCACTTGTGCCACAACTCCACTTCAATTTTTTTTGGGGGGGGGTAGTTAATTGGAAATAATCTCACTGACTTTCTTGCCCAGACTGGCTTCAAATCATGATCCTCAAATCTCAGCCCCATGAAGAGCTAGTGTTACAAGCATGAGCCACTGACTCCTGTTTCTTCTCTTTTTCTTCTCTCCTCTTGTTCTCTCTCTCTGTCTCTTTCAATATTCCTTCCTTCTTTCCTTCCTTCCTTCCTTCTCTCTCTCTTTCTCTCAAGGACACCTGTGGCTCATGCCTCTAATTCTAGCTATGCTATAGGCTGAGGTTTGAGGATTAAGGTTCTAAACCAGCCCACAAAGTAAAACCCAAGAAGTTCTTACCTCCAATGAACAAAAAGCTGGAAGTGGTGGTGTACTTCCAGTGGTAAAGCTTCAGTTTAAGTCTTAGTATTGGTAAGAAGAAAAAAAAAAAGCAAGATGACACTGTTCTCATGGCATATCAAAATATTCCCCCATCAGTTCTTCAATTCCTCAAGGACACATGGCACTGAGTTAAGCCCCGTAAGCCTTAATTTAAAGAAAATGTTATTAAAGTGCCTACTTGACATCTTTCTTAGCTTAGGTAACTAACTCAACCTCTATTCGATTCTGAAAGCCAGAGTCCTAGAGTAATTTCTTGGTTTCTTTATCCTTTAATTCAGTTTATCATTAATATGTGACCAGTCCACCTCTGTCTTCTTTCTGTCAACCTCATCTCTTTCTTGGGCTATTATGGCATCTCATCAGCCCATATGTGTCCTTTTTTATTATTATTATTACTGAGGGTTTGGATTCAAGACCTCATGTTTGCTAGGAAGGAGCTCAACTACTTGAGCCATACTCCAAATTCTTTTTGCTTTAGTTATTTTTTAGATAATCTCCCTCTTTTGCACAAACTTCTGTTGGATTATGATCCTTCTACCTATGCCCCCCTCATAACTGGGATTACAAGCATGCATTATCATGTCTGATGACATGATCTCTTAATCTGTGGTCTGTCAACATTGGCTGTTTCTCCAGCTGGAAGGTGGGCTTCATGAGAGCCAGGCCCTATCATCTTGCTCACTTGAGTGCTGAGGCTGAGAAGTGTGCCCACATGGAAGGTATGTCACTGAATACCAGCAGAGAGGAAATAAGTATCTGCTATTCACATTAGCACTAATCACTAAATTAAATCCCCAAGGAAAGAGTAGCACAGGGAGGAGAGAGGATCAAAATAATAAATCACATTTGTTGCACAATTAACACAGCTGGTCCTGAGGAATGACAATGGAGATATTGATAGTAACCAGTCTCTAGTTATTGTTTCCACTGTAGCTCTAAGTACTATACCCTATAAGCTAAAGTTGTTAGTTCATTATCTATATACATTGGTCAATTGGGCTGGGGTAAGAACAAACAATCCTCTAGTCTCTCAGTGGCTTAAAACAAAACTGAAGGACTGGGAAGGTAGCTCAGTGGTACAGTACTTGCCTTGCATGCTTGAGGCCCTGTGTTCTATTCCTCAGCACCACATAAGCAGAAAAAGCCGGAATGGTGCTGTGGCTCAAGTGGTAAAGCGCTAGCTGAGGGACAGCACCCAGGCCCAGAGTTCAGGCCCCATGACCAACAAAAAACAAAAACAAAAACAAACTCTGAAGTTTATTTCTTGCCAAGGAAATGCATCCATAATGTCTACTTATTATAGGCCCTGAATGATCCATCTTGAACTGGTGGGTTTATTATTATTGTGTCCAAAGGAAAGGAAAAGAGTATAATAACTGATATATCAGTTTCAAAGGCTGCTGCCCAAAAGTGAGAAGTTTCACCTTTGCCTACATCTTATTGGTCAAAACAAGTCACAAGACTATTTAGTTCAATTGGGTGCAAACACACAAGGAGAACCAGAACAGCAGTCATGGCTGGGCCTGGTTAGCTGGCTGGTTAGTAAACATTCAGTTCTCCTTCCTTCTACAACACGTGTACTCACTGCCCCCCTGAGGTAGAATTGCCATCCATATACACCAGGCTGGTCCAGTCTGGTTGCTGTGGTCCAGAGTGTTATGAACAATAGTGTCCTCTATTCACCCAATATAAAATGGTAAAGCAAGAACAGAACAACTGAATAAACACCCACCAGAAACAGGAACAAAGGGGAACCCAGGGTAAGTGGTGGTCCAGAGAAACTTTAAGAACCTGACAGGCAAATGTGATAGCTGTTGGGAAAGGTTACTCAATTAAGAATTAATTTTTCAACTCAGGTATGATGTGTAATTTTCAACTTTCTTTTCTTTTTCTTTTTTTTCTTTCTTTTTTTTTTTTTTTTTGCTAGTTCTGGGGCTTGAACTCAGGGTCCGAGCACTGTCCCTGAGCATCTTTGTGTTCAGGGCTTGCACTCTACCACAGCTCCACTTCCAGCTTTTTATGAGTAGTTTATTGGAGATAAGAGTTTCTTTTTTTTTTTTTTTGGTTGGTCGTGGGGCCTGAACTCTGGGCCTGGGTGCTGTCCCTCAGCTCTTCAGCTGTAGACTAGTGCTCTACCACTTGAGCCTTAGCCCCACTTCTGGCTTTTTCTGCTTATGTGGTGCTGAGGAATTGAACTGAGGGCCTCATGCACGCAAGGCAAGCGCTATACCACTGAGCCACCTTCCCAGCCCCTGGAGATAAGAGTTTCACGGAGACTTTTCTGCCATGCTGGCTTTGAACCACTTGGCTACTTTTTCAACTTTTGATGAAAAAGGTTGGAAAGGGGCATGGTGAAATTAAATTCTCAGTTTTTATGCTGAGGCTCATTCCTCCTTTGCCAGTGTATCTTTCCCAAAGATTTAATGAGTTTCTGTATTGGTCATTCTCTGTTCATCTCATCAAATATATTCCTTTTCAACTTTATACTGTGCCTCAGGAGCTGATTGTTATGGACTGCATTATCCAGGCTGCCTCACCCTCTAGCATATTATTGGTAATATTTGTTACTGGTAAAGGGAAAACAGTAGGAGGTAATTGGTGGGTGGGAATTAAGAGAGCAAAGCTGGAACATTTATTCTTATTTTGAAACTCCTTCACCCAATGTTGCCACAATCCTTGGTCCTATGATTTAAGATCCTGTCTATTGGCTTCCTGCCATAGTTCTAGACCTCCCAGGCTCCTGTTACTCAGGACCATCCCTTTTCTCATTCAAGTGTGGGGTGGTAAAGTTCTCCTGAGTTGCTTGTTCCTAAGTACCTCATTGTTTCTAATTAGTACCTTAACTCTGACAGTTCTGTAACCCCTTTTCTTTATTACATTCTCTTTAGTTAAACAATAATGTTTACACTATCTGCTTCCTGCCAAGCTAGCTATTATAGCTTCTTACCTACTTGATCCAAATATCTGTCAACAGGTAACTGAAGCTCTTCCCTTGACATATTTCTTATGCCTTTCTCTTGACTTGATTTTGAAAACTTTGAGCTTTGTGATATCTGGCTTGATAGAAAAAAATTGCTGGTTGCTATTTAAATACTTTATTTTATTCAGAGGGTTAAGCCATTTCTAACACATTAGTGTAAACAATAAATTCATTTTCTCACAATTCCAGAGGCTGAAAGTTTAATATTAATGTACCCGTAGGTTTGGTTTGTCTGGAGATTATTCTCTTTGCCTTGAAGATAGATGTCTTCTTGCTGTGTTCTCACATGGCCTTTGTGCATAAATCCTGGTGTCAGTGTTCTCCAGAGAAACAGAACCAATAAATCTATCTATCTGTCTGTCTATCTGTTGAATCAATTCATCCATCCATCCATGTATCCATCCATCCATCAATCCATTTGTTCATGCTATCTAGCTAGCTACCCATCCATTATCTATCACCTATCTTTAGATCTGTCTGCCTATCTATCTGTTACCTATCTACCATCTATCATCATCATCGTCATCGTCATCATCATCATTATCATCATCATCATCATCATCATTTAGTACAGGGAATTGGCTCACATGATGATGGAGGCTAAGAAGTTACTGTTAGTGATAATGTGCAAGCTATAGACTAAGGAAAGCTGATACCAGAGGCCTGAGAATTAGTTGAGCTGATACATAAATCCCAGTCACTGGGCAAAAGATAAGCAGAGATGTCTCAGTTTACACAGTGAGACAGGTGAAAGTGAGTGAAGTAAATTTTTCCTTTGTCCTCTGTCTTTTGATCCACTTAGTCCCTCAGTAGCTTGGATGACATCTAACCACATTGAGGAGTACTGAGTCCACAGATTCAATGGGTAAACTCATGCGGAAGCCCTCTTACATACCCAGAAACTGTTTATTCTGTGCACTCTGCAGACAACTCAAGATGGCATATAAATTTAACAATCATATCTTGTGTTTCTCCTATTAAAAGCACATTGAACTAGAATATAAACATATAACAGCTTCATTTTAATTTAGTCACTTCTATAAAGGATGTATTCTCAAACAGTTACATCCTTTGTTTGAGACTTCAACATACAGACTTTTTTTTTGTGCCAGTCCTGGGGCTTGAACTCAGGGCCTGGATGTGGTTTCTGGGCTTCTTTGTTCAAGGTTATTGCTCTACAGCATCACTTCCAGCTTTTTTGGTGGTTAATTGGAAGTAAATCTCTCACAGATTTTCCTGCCCAGGCTACCCTTGAACTGTGATCCTCAGATCTCAGCCTCCTCATTAGCTAGGAGTACAGAAATGAGCCTTAGCTCAGCTAGTAATTTTTTTCCTTTGACCTGTTAGGGGATGAAGTTGTCTCCTGATATGATGGTTCCAAAAGGGTTTTTTTTGTTGATGTTGACAAACTTATGGTTTCTAAGGTTATCTTTTTCTGAGGTGACCTGTAAAATACAGCTAATCATAGTCAGTGTATATTGTTATTTTCCTTTTGTTCCCTTTAGAGTTAGAATTTCTGCCTTCCATGTTATTACAACAAAGTTTCACTAAGTGTTTTATTATCATATTAGTTGTATCACCAGTATTCTAAGGTCCAATGACAGTTTCCTTTCCATTTCCTGCCCAGTTCTTAGCCATCACCATGTATTTTAAGCCTATTTGGTATGATAGTACTTGTGTAGTATCTGTGTATTATTGAAGACAGTATAATTTTGCTGTCAGAAAAAAAAATACACCTTCATTTCTTGACCAGGCTGCCTGTCTACCCATCCAAAACAGTGGAGATCAACTTTAAAAAATACATTTTTATTGTTATTGTAAAGGTGTGTACAGAGAAGTTATAGTTATATAAGTCAGATGAAGAGTATATTTCTGCCAGGTGCCAGTGGCTCACACCTGTAATCCTAGCTACTCAGGAGGCTGAGATCTGAGGATGGTGGTTCAAAGCCAGCCTCGGCGAGGAAAGTCCATGAGACCCTTATCTCCAATTAACCACCAGAAAAAAACTGGAAGTGGCACTGTGGCTCAAATGGTAGAGTGCTCACCTTAAACTGAAGAGCTCAGGGACAGCGCCAAGGCTGAGTTCAAGCCCTACAACCAACAAAGCAACAATAACAACAACAACAAAAGAGCGTATTTCTTTTTGAACAATGTTACCCTTTCCCTTGCTCTCTTGGAGTTTTTCCTCCCACCTCCTCACAAGTTGTATAGCTCATTTTCAACATAATGTCTAGTGAGTATCACTACTGAATTTGTACACCCTTTGTCCTACCAATTCTGTGCCTCCCCCTTACTCTCTTAAAGGCAGATAAATGAACAAATGAGACAGAAGGAAAACAACAACAACAACAACAACAACAAAGAAAAAAATCTCTTGTTTCCATTTCCTGGAGTTCATTTTGATAAATACTATTTTATATGATCAGATGCTCATAGCTATTGTGCTTTTCTGTTCCTATGCTAAGAATATGCTCCTTTGGTCTCACTGTGTGTGAATGCCTAGTGACCTGCATAATTTATCATGTCCCAGTTTATTTTTGTTAGTCTTTTAACCATTCAGTGTGTTTGCTTGTAGATTTATAGGCATATTATAGCTACCATAAATGAGGGAAACCATGAAACCAATGTTTATTTTTATCTGGCTGACTTCATTAATAAATTTTTTCCCAAGTCTTTCCATTTCCTTACGAATAGTACAGTATCATTCTGATGGATGAGTAACATTCCATTGTGTATATGTACCACATTTTCTTAACTCACTCATCCACTGAGGAGCATCTGGATTGATTAGATATCTTGGCTATGATAAACAATGCTGCTATGAATATGGTTGTACTGGAGATCAACTTTAACATGCCCATGTGCCATACCAGGGGCTTAAAAGAGTCATAGCTTTCCAACCTCTCCTCAGCTATAACAACTGGTTCACTTTTTCAGCTTCTTGATCAAAGTGGGTCACTTGATTGCTTTTCACTTAAGTGGGACAGAATATGTCTCCTGTGCTTGAACTGAGTAGCCAGTTTAGATGAATAGCATAATAATTATAACTACTACTAGTACTAATAATAACGAACAACCCTCTATAACTGAAATTTGCCTCTATAGAAATAAAGAAATTTGGGGGTAAAAAGAAAAATTTAGGATCATCTGTGGTACAAACCATAAGCCATGGAAGCTATTTTGGTTTTCTAGGTGCTATGCCACTATTGGCCTCTTCACAGGAACACAGCTAACCCTTCCCCTGAGGCTGCACATGTTATACAAGCTCTGAGACGAAGCTGTCTTTTGGACTTTGTATGAAATTTTCGTATCTTTTCTTTCCAGCTACCAAAGAATCCTAAAAACTGTGTGAAAAGAGTCAGGTGAGTTTCTCTGATTCTTTGTTGTACTTGTGTTTTGTATGCACTGTAACTCATTCTCTTCCAAATGCATTTTAAAGCAAAGTAATATTCAAATTTGTCATTTTCATAAAACAGGAAAGATATTTATTGGCATGCACTGTCAAACAGACTGGCAGATGTCACTAGAAAATGGTAAAAAAAAATCTGCGGCCCATTATTTCCATAAAGCATATTTTTTTCAATTATCATTCCTAAAATAGAATATAAATTCAACTATCAATGGAAAAAACCCACAAAAAACTCCCAACAATATATAGCTGCCATCAGAACAGTGACATTAATGGACAAGTGACATTAATCATGATACCTCATATTCTGGAAAGGACTCAGAATCCAGGGTTCCAATTAAAGTAGTCTCCAGTTTAAAATAGACTGTAATGGGAATCACTAACAATAAGTTAAAAATAGAACCAGGTATAAAACACACAGTGGGGAAATGTGCATAAAATTAGATCACATTGATTAGGTACAGACTTTTGAAAAACTTTTCTAGGAATACATTATTTTGCTTCAAATCTCCCCTGTTCCCCCTCCTCATTTCATCTTTGTCTCTGACTCCAAAGTGATTTTTCTAAAATAAAATTCTAGACTTGGCATTTCCCTATTTAAATTAGTCTGTGCGGAACTAGGGCACTATCAGTGAAAAATCATGTTTTCTTAGAGCTTCTCAGGCTTCATGTCTTCATTTCTCTAAGACCAGTGTGTGAATGACAAATCTGCCACAAATGTTTGTGTTCAACTAAATTCATATATTAAAACCCTAACCAAAGATGATGGTATTTTTATTTTTTGCTAGGTGCTGGTGGCTCACATCTATTATCCTTTTAGGAGGATCAGAATGAGGGAGCTCTAGGTTACCTCAGGACAGAAAAGTTCCCTAGACCCCTTCTTACTCCATACTTGGGTACCAATAGCCCATTTTTGTCATGCTAGCTTTGTGGGCAGCTGAGGATCAAGGTTCTATACCAGCATGAGGCAGAAAAGTCCTGAGACTCCATCTCAGTGAAAGAAGCCAGGCATGGGAGTGCATACTTGTCATACCAGAGACTACAGGAAGCTGACGTAGATTGAAGTCTAGGAACGTGCCTGTGCAGGGAGTTAGGCTGTATCTTTAAAAAATTAACACAAAGCCCTCCAATACCTTTCTCAGGCTTGCGGAGGACATGACTTTGGACTCTCGGAAAATCTATAGCGGGGGACTACTACCATCAGGCTTGTGCATCCAAGTTGCCTGTCAAGTGGCTGGCGCTGGAGAGCCTGGCTCACAACCTGTACACTGTGCACATTGATGTGTGGGCCTTCAGAGTGACCGTGTAGGAGATCATTACTCGTGGGGCAGACGCCATATGCTGGCATCGAAAATGCTGAGATTTACAACTACCTCATTGGCGGGAACCGCCTGAAACAGCCTCCAGACTGCATGGAGGACGTGTACGATCTCATGTACCAGTGCTGGAACGCGGACCCAAAGCAGCGCCCGAGCGTCACCTGCCTGCGAATGGAGCTGGAGACCATCCTGGGCCACCTGTCCGTGCTGTCCACCAGCCAGGACCCTTTGTACATCAACATTGAGAGCGCAGAGCAGCTTGCTGAGGGAGGTAGCCTGGAGCTGTCCAGCCAGCATAGCAGTGGGGCTGGAGATGGAGATGGCAGTAATGTGGGGGCAGTAGGAGGTACCCCCAGTCACTGTCGGTATATCTTCAGCCTGGGAGGTCCAACTGAACCCACTGGGCAGGTGGAGCAGCAGCCAGAGAGCCCCATCAACGAGACCCAGAGGCTGCTGCTCCTACAGCAAGGGCTACTGCCCCACAGTAGCTGTTAGCCCGCAGACAGAGGGTACCTGGGACTGTCCGCCTCTGGTTCTGCTGGCCGCTGTGCTGGTTGACCCCAGCCCAGGCAGCAAGGTATGGGGGCTCCTGTGGTAGCCCTCCCAGACCGCTGGCACCTGGACTGACCAAATCGCCCAATCTCAGTTCTTCCTGTAACCACTCTGGCCCGCCTGACATTAGTTCAGGCCTTGGCCTGGAGGAAGTGGGCCAGACCTGGTTGCCTGAACCTAGGCATCTGGAAAGTGGGGTGCTGGTGCTGGTTATATTTCCATGGTTACCATGGACATGAATTGCAGTGGGGGAGGGTAGGTCTAGCCCTGTGGGCGCCTACCTTCTCCCCCTCTCTCCACTGTTGCTTCAGTGCAAGATGCATTTAGCTCCTCCTGCCTGGGGAGCTTAGCAGTGCCCCTCATGCTTGGGTTTAAATGCCAGATTTTCTCCTGAGTCACAGAGATGCCCTTGTACTATTCCCCTTTAGGTGAGATTCGGTAAAGGGTTAGTAGTCAGGTCCCAAGCCCTGCGGCAGGAGATAGTGGGACACTCAGGTCTGAATCCTTGTCACCTTCCTGATTCCCCATCCTGCGTAGGCTGGGTGAGGTGGTGAGGAGGGTGCTTCCCTGAGTCTGGCCACCCCTTTCAGCATTCAGGGGTACCACAGTCTGGCAGAGACCATCTTGTAATGGCAGAGCACTAAGCCCAGCAAGAGGTAGGAGCTCTGATTGGCCGGCCCCAGAACAGATGAGGCGGGAGGAGTTCAGGAGCCCCCTCTCCAAGCCCTCCCACAGCCTGTCAGCATGCTTCCAAACCCCTAGACACCCCGAGTCTAACAAAGGCCGCTGTGGGAGCCCAGCAGGTCCATGATGACCCTTAATCCCACCTTCCCCTCTCTATCTGGACACCATCTTCTGACCCTAGTCTCTAAAGTGCAAACAGGCTCCATAGTTGGTGTGAGAAAGGAGGAGTTCCTGCAGTGTGACCCCAGCCCTGGCTGAGGTGCCTGGAATGCCTGGATAGGCCCTTGCTGTTAGGAACACTTCCAAGTTGTTTCAAAATAGAAATAAAATTGAAGAATAAAGAACCAAAAAAAAAATTAACACAAAGAAGGGTTAGAGGCTCATTTGTAGGGCATCTGCCTAGCACACCTGAGTTCAATCCCCAGGACTGACACCAAAAACAAACAATAAAAGTAGAGGTTCTGGGAAGTGAATGGGTCATGAAAAGGAGGAGATTCAAGAGTGGAATTCGTCCTTTTACAAGAGTCCTGAAGAAGTTGTTTGTCCCTCCCACGATGTGTGGTACCTCAGATAGAGGTCCCAACATCTATGAACCAGAATGTGGGCCTTTGCCACACACTGAATCTGCTGATGTCTTCATCTTGGACATTGGAGTCTTCAGAACTATGAGAAATAAAACTTCAGCTGTGTATATGCAGTATTGTTTATGGGTTTTGCTATAGCAGCTGTTATAAAGCTAAGCTACATTCATTCCTAGCCACTGAGTTCAGGGCTATATCCCAAGATTTCTCTTAGAACCTTTGCTCTGTCTCTGAAGTGCTTGCAACCTTCATGTCTTACTAAGTGCCCTATGGAGTTCTAAGAGAACTGTAAACATACTTCCCATGCAATTGCATGAGGTTGTGGCATTAAATTAGTTTATAGACTTTACTCACAAAGCAAAAACTTATTCTTCATTTTTAAGATATTGTGTCAAGTATTGCAAGATTCCTTTGCTTTATGTGACATGTTGTTGACATCAGGTATTAGCAAAAAATGTTTGTGTTTTGGCATAAAGTTTCACTATGGCTAATTGTCCAAATCGATATTGGTGGATAGTACTCCTAAACTGTTCCACTAATATAGCTATTATAGTCCTGTTAAAAAAACATTTTGAAACCAGGCCCTGGTGGCTCACAACTATAATCCTAGCTACTCAGGAGGCTGAGATCTGAGGATGGGACCATCCAGGGTGGAAAGGCTGTTAGACTCTTATCTCCATTTCTTATTTTGCTGTGTCTGTAACATGATCACTCTGTGAGGGCCTTTTAGTTTTCCAATTGCATACTTGCTCTGAGCTCTAGTTGGGGATCTGCTGGCCACTCTGGCTTTCCTAGCTGTGGATTCATGGGTTTGCTTCATCCCTCAGGGCATGGAATCCTCTGGAGTTCTGACCACAGGGCCCCTGCCCCACGAGAAATTCTGGTTTCATCCTGGTGTTTGTTTACCAGACACTCCTAATCTTTCCCACATCCTCTCAGAGATCCTTGTCTGATATACTGCCTTGTTGTCTAATTCATTTCATACTAGGCAATTCATTTAACCTTTCTGTTTCTCAGTTTTCCCATTTTCCAAATAGGGCTCTAGATAAGCCCCAAACTGGGCTTGTGAAGCTTTTACAGCTTGTGAGGATCAAGTAAGATCAAGCTTGTAAAAACACTTTGTTGAGTCTGAAGTGCTAAGCAAATGTAAGCTATTATTCTTACTGCATTGTAGTTTTCACAGACACATCATACCTGGATGCACATTGTCTTTCTACAGAGCTATTTGAAAAGTATTGACTTTTGGTTTGATAGAATAGAACATCAGTAAGAAGGAAAATGACATTAACTACTAATCTTAACCAGGTACCACATGCCAAGTATTGTGCTGGGTATCTTTTGTATATAATGTAGTGTTATATTTATATCTACTTTTCAAGATAGGTTTATTCTTTGTATCTGTTTCTGTCTCTATTTTGTCTGTCTGTGTCTGTGTCTGTGTCTGTCTCTCTCTTTCTCTTAGTTTCTCTCTCTCTCTCTCTCTGCCAGAGGCTTGATCTCAGGGCCTGAGTTGGGATTACAGGCATAAGACACCACTGCTTCATTCTTCTCTTCTCTTATAATTTAAGGAACAGAGAAACAGAGAACAAAGTAACCTGTCCAAAAATGTATAGTTTGTAAACCAGAGCAAGGAAGTGTGTTTATTTCCCTTCGGTTTCAAAACTATGCTTTTCAACACATGCTTCCCTTGAGATGAGATACACTCTGCTTGGTGTGGCTTTGCTCTGGTCATCTCATGCTAGTTGGTTTCCACCTTGTGCGTGTCATACCCCATGCCAGTCCCAGTGGAATAGGCAGCCCTTTAAGAGGATTTACCATGAGTTTTTCATCATATCTTGTGAAATCTCCTTTAGAGTGAGCTGGACTCCATAATTTGCATCTACCAAGTAGATTATAGCTAAGATGACAGGATACCACTTCTGAAAGAGTTTCAAACTATCTGTGGCTTCTGTCCTGTTGGCCTGCTTATGCTCAGTTTGATGAAACCAACTACTATATTGTGATCTGCACTCTGGAACTCCCCACGTGGTAATATGGAAAAGATGGCAGCCTCTTACATACAGATGGCAAAGACCTGAACCCTGGCCCCAACGGGGCAGTGAGCCTGGAATTGGACCTTTTCTCAGCTGAGCCTGAGACCACTAGAATCTCTGTTGGTACCTTGATTATTTCCTGTGCAAAATACGACCCGGGGACCCCACAACGCTTAACCTGCAGTTCTGATTCTAAAATTGTAAAACAGTAAACATTGTTCTTTAAAACCACTACATCAAGAGTCATTTGTTGTTGTTGTTTTGGTAATACTGAGATTTGAACTCAGGGCTGTGCATTTGCTAGGCAGATACTATATCACTACAGATACAGCAAGCAATAGATGACCAGTATTCATAGTACATGCAGAAAAGCACTGTTGAGAAGTGTTGGATATAAAGGAAGTGGTGAATGAGAAAATTAACTCTGATACGTCTAACTTTTCCATCCAATAAGCAATACCTAGTAAAATCCCAAATCAATTTTTTCACTTAATAAACAACACCTAAAATTGTGGAAGCAATATCATTAGGGCCAAGGTATTGTTCTCTGTGCTATACTGATAGAGAAGGGCTTTGGTTGGGGTGAAGTTGGCAAAGCTGATTTTTTGTTGTTGTTGTTGCCCAATGTACAAGCAAAAAATAGATAGGAATATTATATGCAAAGTTACATTGGCAGGGAAGAGTCTAGGAACTTTGAGTGTTGGAGGAATCTTTAAAAATTATTAGAAAGCTTGGCGCCGGTCGCTCATGCCTGTAATCCTAGCTACTCAGGAGGCTGAGATCTGAGGATCGAGGTTCAAAGCCAGCCCGGGCAGGAAAGTCCGTGAGACTCTTATCTCCAACAAACCACCAGAGAACCAGAAGTGGCTCTGTAGCTCAAGTGGTAGAACACTGGCCTTGAGCTGAGAGCTGAGGGACAACGCTCAGGCCCAGAGTTCAAGCTCAGGACCGACAAAAAAAAAAAAATTATTAGAAAAACCTGGCACAGTGACTCCAGCCTCTAATTTTAGCTAGGCAGACGTGATCTGGAAGACTGAAGTTCTAGGTCAACCTCAGGGAGGAAAAAGTTTGTGAGATTCCGCTGCAACCAGAGGTTGGGCATGGTATTGTCTACCTGTCCTATCTGTGTAGCAGAGGCACAGCGGCCAGGCACAGGAACCACGCTTGTCATCCCAGCTATGCAAGGAAGGACCTATGAGAACCTATCTTGAAAGTAATCAGCATGAAAAGGGTGGGTGAAGTGGCTTAGGTGGCTCAAGTAGATGCTCTTGCCAAATAAACATAAGGTCCTGCCAAAGAAGTTATCAGGTAAGTTGACTGACTCTTGATTCACTGGAGTCCATTGCTATTAAAGTGTAAAGCAGAATAGCATTAATTTTTTTTTTCTGTGTATAATTGGATAGTGGATATTTGGGGCACTATAGGACACAGCTAGTGTAGCCTATGTTTCATATCTTTTTTTTGTATTTTTAAAAAATAAATAGTAAAAATGTAAAAGCTTCTTAGCTTGGAGACCTTAGAGCAACAAGATTTTGGACCAGTTCTGGCCCAGGTGTTCGTTTTTCACCCCAATTAGAGTCAAAGTTTCCCTCGTGAGTTAAAAGTTGAAAATTCCCATGAGTTAAGCTAGGATGGTTTCTGTGTGAGCTCAAGGGAGAATTAAGCCCTATTGTCCTGATGCATTCCTGTATGTTATGAATAAATTCCTATCTGACAGATCTAGAGTGGCATTTGCTACGCACATACTTGGAATAACTGAGTAAATCATCACGTTGGCATTTGGCATTTCATTGGTCTGATAAAAGGCTCTGATTGGGCAAGGTTAGTCTACACAGACTCAGACATGTATTCACTCAACAATCATTGAATGCAAGGTAAGTATGTGCTCAGGGATATATTACGGCCTGTAGAACTAGAGACAATGAAATAAGGAATTTCCTGTAGCTCAGAAACATCATACTGACTGAACTACAAGAATTATGGATGCAGGTTAATTTCTGAAGTTATGTTCTGGTAGAAACTATATGACAATCTTAATAACTATTTCTTGCTAAATAATATAATATATTATATATTGTATAATTTTGCTATGGTGTGTGTAATATTTTTGTTATAGAATGACAGCATGTAATCTGTGCTGTGAAATAATCTTTAGCACTAGATATCTCCAAAGAGACAGATTTTTGTTCTAATCTCAACTCTGCCACTCTATGTGATTTCTGATAATTAGGTAATCTGTTACCATAAAATAATAATACCTATTTCAGTGCATTATATGAATTTAAATGAGTTGAGATAGGTAAAGCACTCAAGGGTATTTATTAATGAGTAGCAAAAGTTTAACAGAAATAAATTCATATTTTCAAGCTCAGATCCACATTGTCAGGGGCCTCAGAACCATGCACTTATTATTGTTAATTGTATCAGTCACACCCTCTTTAAACTCAATAAGCGATACTGTTAGAAAGAAGCATCTGTAATTTTGTCTAATTTTGCACTGGACTCTG